CGAACCTGCTTTTCGTTGTGGAGTAATTTCTATATGGAACCTTGTTATTAATGAAAGCCGTGATATTTCGTTCAATTACTAGTATTCAAATATGTTTGTGTTTTGTAATGTAAATTAAAGGCTATTCCACCTTGCATATCAACATATCTCAATTTCACAGCTGACTCGTGTATAAGTGAACTGAATATGCAAAACACCATACGTTTGCTGGACTGTCAAATTTCGGCGTTCGCTTCACCTGATCCATCATATTCCGTCCTCATGATTCGGCCGAATTCGGGTCGTGGTTGGCGTATTCCGGCGCGAAGCGGGGCGTTTACACGATATCGCTACGTGACGGTGGTTTTTGGGAGCTTGACCGAACTGGCATCTCTGAGTTTTCAACTTTTGGACACCTCAAATAAGATAGAACAAATTGCGATTTATTCGACCAATGATGGTCGAGACTATTTCCTACATGAGGAGGTAGGTTTATGTGGCTTGATCTTAAATTGCACGAAAGTATTTCAAACTTAGGCATTTCTCCAATTTGAGTTTGTTATCCAATGATTTTACACTTGATTAAACAAAACGTATTGCTATCAGCAAAAATCACTAGTCGGAATGTATTAGTCATCAATTTTGGGGTCTTGACAGTTGTCTTGGACAGTATCACTTTTTCTCCCGTGTCTGTTGACCGAATGATCAAACTCGTAGCTCAGCTGGTAGAGCGTGCGCGTACGAAGCGTAGGCCGTGTCAATGCGTGGATTCGAATCCCACCGAGGCTACTCAACTTTTCGCAATCGACATACAAACTTCAAATCTGCCAAGCAACTATTTGAACAAACTTTTATTTAACTGAAATGTTTCGCCCAATAACCAGATGGTGAGATTCTGTATTGGACTTTCGATCACAACTGAGAAAGCATGGGCATGAATGAAGCATACTAGTCAGGCAGAAAAACGTCGGGTGTATTTGGAGAGCCACATAGCGTCATGAACAGTAGACATTTTTCTACAATTGGACGAATGTTAACATCTTGGAAAGGACCTGCAGCTTTGGTGGTTTATTCTTCCTTTTATTAAACTGTATTAAATAATAAAGCAAATAAGGGAAATACTTTGACATTTCACACATTTAAATTATCGGCTCAGTTTGCCGGTTAATACTCACTCATAAACTGCAGTAACACTTAGTTCAAAGAATAAAAACATCTGTTTGGAACCCGAAAACCAACCTAAACACGTGTCAATCGATGTTTCGAGTACCATCATTCGGAAATCCTTGCGTTTCACAACCAAATGCATTATCGGATGAGGTAAAATGGTTTTTGATCCTCGAAGACTAAATCCATTTTATATATTCGATCGCAGTTTATAACAACCAAATCCGTCACAGTGGCTAATGCAGTTGGTTTTGAATCGCTGTGACCATTTGTGGTTGTAAATATGAGCTTGACATTAAGAGGTCAAATTTTTGTTCCACTCCAACCAACTTTCATTTGTTCCACCTCACTCAAATGTTTTAACTTTTCAGGGTGATGTCTCATTTGATTCGGATACCAGTGGAACATACTTTTTCAAAGATGTGCTATACACCCGTGGTTTGCGTGTCGTTTTCAAGAAGTTACAGCATGACAGTAGATCTACTGTGATCACCATGGATTTCCATGTGTGCAGTCAATCAAAGGATGAAAACACATTCGGTAGGCAAACCACTTTCAACTTGTATGCGTCCTGTTTTGCTCAGACCAATTTTGGATTCATGTTGTGCCACATTTTTTAAAACTATAGGAATGATAAGATTGATATTTCTTAGACTGATATCTCTAGGAGATGTTCAATTGTCTGATTTTATGTTCTAATCCTGCGCATACTGCTCGCCGCCATCCAGGAAGTCGTCTGGCAAACGGAAATTATGAGAGGGTCCAAATCAGAAGAAAAGTTGGAGCTATATGTTGCGTTTTTGCTGTATCATGAAATATCAACTACCACGACCGAGTGATAGTGCAATACGCAACGTTTTGATTTCTAACTCAAGTTTTTATGTATTTCCTTTAGATTTATCTCTTCGATACGTGACAACACATAGAAATGAAATTCATACTACCTAGTTTATCTTCTACTCGCAATTCAAGTAGAGAAAGTTTACCTCAAAAAGGAGAGAGTAAGGAAGTTACAAGACTGCAGAAAGTATTGCTTCGAACTGATCATTCAATAGAGTTTATCTGAAAACAAAATGCTCGGTTTATCCAATCAACTTTTCGCGCAGAAGGCAAAATATTTCAGTTCCACACCTGTTAAAACTCAATAATAGTGCATACCGACCGGGGTTAACACACACGACTTCCATGTGCGCAGCGGTTTGGTCACTGTCACTGACGTGCTTTGGACCCTATGGTCCGATGTTCGAGCCCCGCCACCGCCACCCAACTTTGGTGGTAGATAGCTCTACTGTTATCCGGTTCAATACCAAGCCTGACTTAAAGGGGCCTTGTGTGGTCCGCCACTCCAAGTCCCAGGGCTTAGGTTACCGGTTTCCATGACGGAGCAGCAGGTCTTCGTGACTATGGGGTTCGCCCCGTCTGCTGTTCACAACACAAATGTGTATAATAGAAAAATGTGCGAGATCCGAAGTTCGAATCCCAAAAGATCCGGTGCATGTGCACTACTTATGAGCTATAAGAATAGTAAAGCATGAGTCCAGTGATTTTCGAGTAAATGGTTACCTGGATGATTAGGCATGAACGTATGGGCAAATAAAATGAATACCTTTTTTAGCTGGCACAACTACCAACAAACAACTGTGTGATGAGATCTTAATTGGTAAACGTTTTACTCAATGGAACGTTTGCTAGAGTCCAGATAACCGTAAGGTAAATTGTCCGTTATCTGCTTTTTTTAAGTGAAATCATTAAGACTATGACAAGCCTTCCCCATGATCAAGTTCAATATAAAGGACCATATCCCAGTAGGGAATGATTAATGTCCAGGACGATTTCGCTGCCTCTCACCATGATGCATACTGTAGAAAACGCAATATTTATATGGGTCTTCAGCATATGGACAAAGGAAAGTATAACAAATTAGAACAGCTAAACATAAAAGGTGAAGGATTAAGAGGCTTACGTCACCATGTTAAGGACAAGTTAACAGAGCTCGATTGACGACGATCGCTTCAGCAAACCCTGGAAATCTTGCAATTCGTGACTTGTGGGTAATTCAGCCGGCGTGATTCGGTCAATCTGGCGTTGCGTCATCAAACGTTGTCGAGCAATAGTTGATCATGGCACCTTGTAGTATCGACCGTCGTTCAAACAACACAGTTGAAGTCAAGGCCACCACGAAGGAAATGACCGTCATCATGTTGAGGTCCTGAGAAATCGTCCTGAATATAAACCGTACCGTATTGCGATATGATCTTTACTCTTTAAATTCTATATATTGTAAACATTGAATTTAAAACCTGTTTTGGAATAATACACGACTGGTGTTCACCACAATTGCATACTTGCAATAGCGGTCACTACAAAGTGCATCACGAAATACGTTCAGATTTTTAACAATACGCATCGCTTAGTTTAATTGCTGTGATTGGATAGCATTGAAAAATTCCAGAATAAAGAAATGAAGGACATATACTGTTCAATTCACTTTCAACTGTCGATTAATAAGTTGCATGTATAAGAGCAATTTATAGAGCATCACATAAAACGTTTTTCTGTTTTGTTGTCTTTCACGAGATGCAGACAACAAATTCAAATGTATATATCCTTTCCAGATCCGTGCGCGATAAAACCATACACAATAGGACCAGTCGATGGATTTCTGCCAACGCCGTTCTCTTGGGAACCCAGAGTTGTCTTATTTGCCAATGATAAAATGTTTTTCTGTGATTTGACGCCACCAATCAAAAGTCCATTTGAGCAAACCAAACGTTGTTTTATGATTAAGAAAGATACAGATATCACTATTCATGGTAAGTATACCCATCGTGTACGGCTTTTGGTAGAACCTATCAATCCATCCGTCCATACATCAATCAGCCAATCAAACAATCAATCAATCAACCGACCAATCAAATACTACATTAGTGAATATCGCTATCAATAATTAAGTATCCTTGAATGGAAAACACAGCAAATTACTTAAAACCAGACACGGGTCTGTGCCTTTAAAACGCATATCAAGAGGACCATTGTGTGCTTGAGAGTAAATACTAAATTACGTTTTTGCCTCAGTGTACTAAGTTTATGGACAGCGAATGCTAATAACCAGGATAGTAACAATCTGACAAAGGGAAAAGGAAACACTCGTCTAAAGATGCAGTGAGTTCATGAAATCCGTGGACAGTGTACATTCTAGCAATAATCGGGACATTCTTTGCCGAGGAATTTTATGTGATAGCGAACCAAGAGCACTGGATAACTTTGCCCTCTCGAAACAATACAATATTTTGTGAAACAAGTCGTCTGAATGTGGTATGAGTAAACCAAGCACATAAAGTAAGTTAACACTAGCCATGTGTAAGAAGTTGTCACGGTCGAATATTACGTATTGTGCCATTTAGGCGGCTCAGGCAACGTAAGGCTGATCGATTACGAGTCAGGTAAGTTGCAGTGAGACGTATTTTTTCTTCCTCCCCAGTGGGGCTCGCACGACGGACGGATTGATGGCAAATTCAAATTTTTATTGTGGATAAATTACAAAGCTGATGCTTACTTATTGAATGCCATAGAATCTGTACACACTTGGTTAGGTTGGTAGTACAAGTAAATAGAAAATGATAATGTCTATTCACAGGTGCTGAAAATTTAGGTGTTTCAATGCTTTATCGACCGTGACTTAAATGCATCGATGGTTGGAGCACAAACAATTTGAGGTGGAGGAGAGTTTCAGATATTACAAAATCTGAGACTGAATGAGTAACGCCGGCTGTCCAGCCGACTATTTTGGAGTCAACGTTTAAACGGATGACCTCTGAGGTGACCATTCCTGGATATTGTTAGTATAGTACTACAAGGGTGGTTAGGTAAGTGCAGTGTTTGATTTACGAGGACTGTCTCCCCTATTCGACGGTATTCAGCCGAATAGAGTCCGAGAATTCGCAGCCATTCAACCTAGTTCTTAGATTGTAACTCTGGTCATTTTGTTTGCTGTTCTCTGCGGACGTGTGAGTACATTTTGGTCGTGAATTAGCCATGGATTACAAGCCTGCATAGTATATTCGGTGCGTAGTCTAGTGTATGCTGATAGCAAACAGGGGAATAGGTTTGCTTCAAATGATCAAAAATCACGTGCTCTTTGACCTTTGATGACTCTTTACCCCAATGTGTGGAACATCCTAGATTCTAACGAACAATAAATCCCAGATCCAATTTGTTTGGTGCACACGGTAATGGCTGGTTTCTCAGTACATGTGGAAAGCGACCACTGTGACGCCACGATACAATCTTGCAATTCTCAAAGTTGAATTCGATGTCACCATTGATAAGCCATCGGTAAGCTGCATCGAGTTTCCTGCAAGGTTTCATAATCTTCAGGATGTTTTACCGTTCTCCATGTTTTGGCGTCGTCAGCGAATAATAATGCGTTTTCTCCAAGGAAACCTGGTAGGTCGCTCATGAATGCTAAGAAAAGATACGGATCAAATACGGATCCTTGTGGAACTCCAGGTAGTGAGCGACTAGATCTATGATAAACAAATTGAACGAGTATATTCAATAATGAAATAAGATACTTTTATTATTTGATCATTGCGTGAGTTTCCTTCTTTCTAAGTTGGTTTGTTCATATTTAAAATTTAAAATTGCAGATATCGGTCAAATGTTGTCACAAATTGTCAGCTACTTACCATCGGAGAAATCTATTTTTGGAATTGGCCACGATGAACAAAGTTTGGTTCAGGGCACCAATGATGGCGAATCATGGATTGGTGTTAATAGAGACCTTTACCGCCTAGCCATCCAAGACTCCAAGGACGTGATTAACGCTACTGTGGTCCCCTGGATGACAATAGAGGGTAAATTTGAGGAGGGCGTCACGGGCGAGTCGTGTGTTGCGTACACACAAGGAGACTGGTTTGGTAAGCGTGGATTTTGTATTTCAGGAATTTGTTCCTTTATTCAGTTGTTCGAATGCAATTGTTGAATAATTTAATGCCCAGCTTTACCTCCGTACCCTTCAATCAATATTTGTGTTTGAGTTGTGTGACGATAAGTAGCTATCTTCAATCTTACCCAGTACCATAGCAACACTTGTACAGAGTGAGATTTCTACCCTGCCCAATGTTCTGGTATCCAAACGAACGCTATCAATCGTTGCACCAGGTTAGCTTTTTAGTTTCGATTGATATGATGAGTTCGGATTCTTATGCAAACTTTTGCTGGAATTAGTAGTGACTTCTTTTGGTCCAAGGAATTTCAGTGATTTTCTCATTTGTTCAGTGGTATCGTGTACAATGTTTGTTTAAAAGAACAGTGAAACGAAACACTAAAGGATGTATGCACGCATGTGTGGAAGTATGCTATTGACTAAGTTCTACTATCCCATTCGAATGTGCAGAGGCTACAGAAGATGAGATAATTTGGGGTGAGGTGCCGGATAGTGGCTTTCGCCAAATTGTTTTGCAGAATGAAGCAGTTCGGTTAACAGTTGTTCGAAAATAAGTGAAGTTACGATGCCCTCAGAATACTATGATGCCTGATTTTGTTGTACTCGCTTGCAAAAATATCTGAGATCAGATTTGAATTGAACCCGCTAATTGTTTCGACCAGCTGATCAGAAAATTTGGAATCGTTTGTTCAAAAATATCCTCCACTGATGTAGGAAATGAGAGGTGCAGTTTAGTTTAACTCTAATGCGTTCGAGAATTAGGGAGGGAATACATACGTCTCATCCAGAAGGTTAGAGGCTTGTCAAGCTACTTTTGCAACTTTTCTAAATGAAAAACAGTTGGGTGTGACACATACATCTACACACCTAAAAAATGTGATTTATTGGTAGATAATTTGGGATAAATGCCTTGTTTAGCCGGCAACTTAATTGTAGACAACCACGGATCTTGGTTGCAACATCCGATATTTGGTGACCTGAAGAAAACATCTATATTTGGCAACCGTAAAGATGTATTCCACTATCACACCTAAGATTCACCTCATTCTTCCAGTTGATGCTCCCTTTTTGAAAATACATTCTATCGATACATTCATCTCCCCTGGATGTGTTTTCTAGGAACACCAGCTAGTTGTTCAAACTAGCTTTTGAACAGATTTTCAAAAGAGAAGATGGAACCCGGTGGAGTTTCGGAGATACCGTTACGAAACCCGAAAACATCGTGATCAGTTCATTCCCAAAAATCTCGTAGGAATATTTGTCTTTGAATGAAACCGTCTGAATGAGCTAATCGGGGAAACGTTAACAACAGTTTTGCCTAGCTATGACACAAACCAACACTAACAATGTGAACGTACAGCGATGTCTTCATTTTGTCTTTTTCTTACTTCATTTTTCTACTTTATTGAATATACAAATGTACATTCAACTTTCAGGAAGGGGGCTGCGACCAAGCAAAGGATGACCGGGGAAATACAGATATAGGGAAGATGGGCGGCGGTGGAGCGGTCCGAACCCGGGACTATCGGGTCACAATTTGGTGACCTAACCTCTTGGTCACCACCGCTCTGTGAACAAAACCACTGAAACGTACTGCTAAAATGAAATGTGTCCAAATAAAAAGCCTGATTCTGTATCGAATATGATTGGCGCTATTTTTAAGTCTATTCTTGCAATAACTGAGCTGCTACAGATGTCTGAGGATGTGCCATTCATCAGGTCGAGTTCAGCGTCTTTTATTGATTTGAGCTGACTATCCTTCGCACTTTACCTTCATGCACAATCCTCAGTTCATCGATTGAACGATACACTCGGAGCACTAGACCCGAGGTTCGCTCTTCATGGAGCTCACCAGTAGTGTATATCTTCCGTCCCGTCCGGGATTTGAACTCCGGACTCATCGTATGGAAGGCTTGCGCGTTACCACCGTGCCAATTAGATCATAACATGGTTCAACCAAATTGCCAATTCATGTTTGTTCAGGTGTCGTCTACAGTGATAGTCAGTTAATTTTGGCTCGACAGCAAAGAAGGGAGACACAGAGGACATACTGTTAACTCCAATCAAAAGCCTCCCACCAAGTCAGTACTTTCATGCAGGTACAGACTGATTCACCAACGAACGTAAAGGGCACTACTGAAGCACTACTGATGAGATCCATTAAGAGCGAAACTGGAGTCTAGTGCTTTCGAGTGCATGGTTGAATCGATGAACTGAGGATTGTGCGTGAAGGTGAAATCGGAAGGATAATCATCTCAAATCAATAAAAATCAATTATCCCACACCACTACTCACAAGTAACTGTGAGTCAAATGGAAGTTTAACGTTGTTGCAAGCATTCAGTGTGTACAACACCTACTTGAAACTTTTTGTTTTGTGCTATGGGTATCGACGAAAACATGAAGCGAAATACTGAAAAACACTGTGCAGTTGTTTTCACATTGGTGAGACTCATTAGCAGTGTGATTTAATCGATTCAAATGAGGTCTTCACGGGTACAATGCAAAACCCACTGCCTGCCGAACCACCTGGCGGATGATCAGACTGAGTCTTTTCGTCTACACCACATAGACAAGTACCCCTGTTTGTAAGCTCGTGGCGAAAATTTCATTTGGCTTTTGTGAGTACTACAAATCCAGAGTTTTTACTCGGTCGGAAATATCACAAATCGAACTGCCTGTTCTTTCTTGTTACAATATTCATTAATACTGGTAGAGCCCAACGGAAGCTAAACGGGCTATACAGTGCCTCTGAGTCACTTTTGCCGTTTCTTCTGTTTTGAGCATGATAAAATAAGCCAACTGTTTTCGGTCTTCCTTTTTGAATAAAAGTTGTACGATACTATGGCAACGCCGTGCATCACACTGGGTTAATATTGGTGGTCATTGAAGGCTTCTGACTTGTATCAGTACATTTTTGGTTTGGTTTCATGAAATGCAATCACAATGCTTCTCACCGCCTCCTCCCCCTTTTTATCCTTTACTCAGTTTGCTACGACGGAATCTATCATCGGAGTACGCTGGTTGTGGACTGGAATACCGATTGTCCCGCATTCACGTCACTCATTGACGCACTTTGACGCAAACAAACCAAATAAAAGGAAATGATGTACTATTAAACCTAGTCCTTCTCCGCCACCACCATCATCATCAAGCACAATACTTGTTGCTATCTGTTGTCAATTATTTCACCGGCTTTGTCATTCATCAACGGAAGGAAAACCATTTTATTTTCCCATACTTGTATCTGTGTTGGTTCATTTTCTGTTCTTTCTAGAAGCTCCCACACACCTGGTCATTGCATATGTTTTTCACCACTGATGGTTTATGTTTTCTGACCGGTTTTGGGGATTTGAAATGCCTTTCGTCCTCAGTCCGGTGCTTCGCAAGCGGTTGAAGATAGACGTGACGCCAAGAAATTAGTATGTTTCAGTGAAAAGCCCATGCTCAAAGTGATCGATGGTGCTGTGAGATTTATCACAGGTAGGCACATCTGGCCTACAGACACATACACACTAACACGTTATATTTTCGTATCAGTCATAATGTTTTAGCAAAGTATACTTGTTCGCCAAGTTAGGTGTACACGGTGATGTTGTTAGTTGTGAATGTGCATGGCAGGTATGGAGGTCACCGTACAACCACCTGTATCAGGTGTGTGTGCGTGTTTGTCGTTCGAGTCACTCAACTGGACTAGGGCAGCGAGGGAGATAGTAAACTATACCTTTGATACTTATCTTTTTGTTTCTCTCCCTTTTATTGAATATATACAAAGATACAATTTTCAGGAAGGGGGAAGCGGTTCATAAAAGGACTGTCTTATAACACAGGAATGTGGAAAGTCAGGCCGTGGTGGTGGGATTCGAACACTCGTCCTCCGGGGTGATAATTTGGTGACGTTACCACCAGATCATCACCGCCCACTCAGCGCTGAGCACTGAGTAGAATTGATTCGATGCATGTTGGTTACTACCACAACCCGTTTTTAATCTACCCTCCTATCCTTGATGTTCCGCTGACTTGACACGTCCACATGAAATTCAAGCTGGTCCAGTTAAACAATGGTAGAGCGTAACTGAAGAAAACAATGGTTTATAGCAAAGTATCTGGTTCACCAATACCGTCAAAATATTTCTACGCTGATTCCCCGCAACAGCACTCTTCTATATAAACCGCCCGGCCTTGGAGGTTTTCACCTAGAATAGCGAGGGTTTTCCGAATGACGAGCGCAACAGAAGGCAAGGTACATGGTTAGTGCGACAAACAATTATTTGTTTTTAGAGACCAACACAATCTCATTACAAATATTATACTTTAAAGTTTCTTAATTTATAAAACTAGTTAGCCTTTCACCGTTTGAGGGGGAAAACGCGGTGCGCGTTTCACAGTTTGTGCATGGCGAACAACCAGGTCACTTTGGACAGAGTGACTAGGAGAATATTGAATCTAATAGAGTTTGCATGTTGTGCAACGGAGTGACAGACTGCATGGACTATTTTCTATGTTTCGCCAATAAGGTGATGAGGAACTCGAATTAGCCGTACACCTCCTATATGAGAAGCAGATTCACGGGAAGATTTAAAGGATTGCTTTGAACTTGGAGTTGATTATGTCGTTTCAATGGAATTATTAGAGGTACCTTTAAATGAAAAAGGTGAATAATCGGAAAAAAGTTTATAGCGCAATCGGAATCAAAACAAGTTTATAAGTTACACGTTTTTCTCCTAGCATATACACCAAGCAATGCCTGTCATCACAACCTGTCAGTGCTTTAGGCAATAGTTAGATATCTGAGTTCCGTTTTGACTAATAGGATATTCTAACTGCAGCTAAAACATGGACTGAAATGTTTTGATCCATGAATTAAGTCAGTTGTCGAAAAGGTTTGGTGTTCTACCAGTCCTCGCAGAATGAAAGCAAAGTAATCAAAGTGTTGAAAGTGACATCCACGACCGATTTGCAGCCGAAGTGTGGATTCGGACACTGGTTGAACTTATGAATCCTGTGTCTTTGGGGAAGTTTGCATATAATTTTGATTGTCTATGTGAACAATTATTGTTCATTTCATTGTTTTCGTTTTGTTTAAAAATTGCCAATACACTGATTGACATCTGTGTGACTCACACGCATCACGTGAATCGCGATATCACGTTCATCAACAGCATCGTGCATAGCAAAGTGCAAGCAGTATCATGAAACCGAAGTGGTTGAAAAAAGTTAATTCATCTGTTGGAACAAAATGTCTATATGCTTGAATAGAAGCAACCGAAACTGACGATTTCATCATCTATGATCCTGACTTCCTGGTTGTAGACCTCCAAGAAATAAAACACGTGAAAATATGAGCTCATCGATAATGTTGGTGAAACTTTGTTATTCGCTGCACTTGCCACAATTTCTACTCTTGAAGGGTTCGGCAGAAGGCGCAAAATAGAATTTGTGCAATCCATCTGACTTACCTGTTAGCGTTGATATTGAGCCGTCTGGTAATATCCAGGAGACTAGCGATTTGCACAAACAAAGATATGTTATTTTTGTGCTTTGATTTTTTTTCTGCGCATCGAGTTGGGTAACCATGATCCATGAGCATTGAATGAGTGGGCTATTGGAAAACTTTGTAACCGCTCTGGGTCTTGCTTATCCCTTCAAAACTAATTTTGACGATTTCCTTCACCACAGGATTGTCCCAACTGCGTGGCAAGTGATAATTATTAGTATGTGGTGCACCATCTAACAAAATACTTGCAAACCGTGATTCGATATCTACTGAATTTTAATCAAAAGAGTCAGGTGGTTATGAAGACCGAATGTTTCAGAACAGAATGTTACAGTTTTTTCAACAAACAATGCAGTTTGCGATGAAGCTGCTTCTTCATGGACAATTTAAAACTCATCTATTCTAGACAGATTGTAAAAATGAGGTATAAAAGAATGATTTGGTAGTTTTTGAAGTAATGTCTGCACACATACGAAAGCGCAACGGGACACATCTCTGAACCTGTCGTACAAAATATCTATTTCAAGGATTCCATGCTACTATTCTATAACCAACCTTGTTTAGACCTAAACGAGTGGTATCATATTTACGTAACTAAAATACCTTATTACATGCCAGCCACGCTCTAAAAGCGTAAAAACTGACATTACTGATATAATTGAAAGACTTGTGCAATAGACATCTTTCGCTAAAATCTGGCAAATGATACTGTACGTTTCCACTTCAGGTGAATCCGTTTTGACTTCAAGTTAATTCAACCATTCGCACTCCAACGGGAACCCAAAAGATGATTGGTGTTTCGGTCGTCAAATGTCTCCGATTGGACAGGGTCTGTCTAAACCCCGTCCGGTCCGAATGAACTCACTTCCCCGTAAACAAACAAAGTACTTTTGGAGTGAGTTACCGAGCGAGGATGAATGTTTTCGTGGAGTGGGGTGGGCTGGGGTGGGCTCTTGGTACCCCTACCTCAGCCCGACCCAGTCTGAAAAGTTACGTCCGTGATAGTTGATCGGCTGTACGTCATTGACGTGAATGAACGAACCCGACGGTAATTGGCCTCTGTCGGTTGAGGAAGAAATCGAATCACGTGAAGATTGATCGATAAATCGGTCGCCATGCCCAGACGTGAATGTTTGAATGATTCATTGCATACGTGGCTTCAATGCAGGCTGTCAATAATCCAATGGGTAAATTCCATTGAGGCCTATTTTCTCTCGAATAACATCGATTCCTATGAACCAAATGCAATTAGCTACATATTTCTGGCATTGAAATGTACACTTGATGATATACTTAACAGTGGTACAAGGATAAAGTGAAAGGATTGACAGTGTTTGTAAAATCATATCCGAACCTATTCACTATAGCTAACAGAAATCACATTTTCCTTGTGGTTCCCGGGCTGATTAGTACATTCGATTCATAATGCTACTGACAACAATTTGCTACCGGCAGCTTCTCCCTTCGCCATGTTATGGTGCTATGACAGGCAATCACCTGCGAGATCATAAGAGGACCTGACACATTTATTTCCAAAAACTGACGAAGAATTGAATAGTCTTTTGTAATGCAGTGTACAAATTTGAGGCTGAACGTAACTGAAGTGGTAGTCAAAAATCAGCGCCGGTCTGTTCTGTTTAGCAGTAGGAGATGAACTTCGGCGGTTCCAATATAACCAGTACAGTTTAGTTCCATTAAATCCTAAGAACTAATGTTTCAGTCTTTTCGTAATCCTTCTTTTCCTCTTCATCTCACGTGCGTAACGCGATGAAATCAAACTATGTTGTCATGTTTGCAATACGGAAAAACGGCTCAGTATGTCCCGCTTCTTGCGAACACTTTGGATAGAAAGAAAACGGCAATTATTGAATTTATTTTTCGCCGGGAGAAGGAAGCATTTCCGCATCTTTAGAAGTGCTATCAGACAATAAAACCGCTCGCATCCACAGTTTTGATCTGCTCGTCCCATGAAACATGACTTGAAGACGAGCAGGTGGAATGGAAACGCTCAACTTCTAAAGACCAAATATGAAAATGATCAAAACAATTAAATGTGGTAATGAAGTTTATATTCTGTGGGATGCCCCGCAGCTTGAATTGATTAGTTTACACGCGTTTGCAGTGTAGCTGTGCTCTTTTGTGCCGATTTCAAGATGACCAACCATCTTGCCAATCCACGACTTGGATAAAATTGCTCGTGCCTTCGAGCACCAACACCAAACAATACAAAATCATTTTTCCGGAAACCCAAGTTTTGCGTCCGGTTTCTTTGTCAGTTTGTAACACAACGTCGCGAGAAAAGCAAACATTGAAAACTAGCTCATAAAATATTTATTTTGAAATGATTAAATCTGGGGTTGGCTAATAACCCTTGCAACTACTTTTGTAATACTTTCGACACCACATTCCACGTGATCTTATTAGTCGTGTGTGCTTTCGCTGATAAGAGTAACCGTTTGGAATGAAATTATCACGTGATGTCCCTACGTTGGCTACCCCACTGTTGAAAACATCAATCACTGAGCAATGCTCGTATTTAGGTTTTCTTTTGTTTGAAACGAAATTTTTTCGTCCCCTTCAAAA